ACAAGGGCCTCTGCATTTGTAAAGATGTGCAGAGATAAGAACAAAAATGGTGTGGAATACCTGAAGGACAAATTTTGAGACATAGTATTTACATTTAGCTTTTTTTGTCAGCAATCAGAAATGGAGATGGTCCAGCATATCCCAGAATTTTCCAGAGGCAGGCCTGGCAGTAACATTTTTAGACTGTAATGTTCCAGGCAAAATCTTTATTTCACATTAAGAAACGCATTGGCAATAATTTAACTTTAGTCATCATGTATAATGAACAAACGATTATACAGACAGGCTGTTGCTTGTGTGCTTCTCCGTGTTGCACAGAATTGCGCACACAGTTCAAATCCCAAATTACAACAGCATATTGATCATTGTGTTTACATTATTATTATAATACATCCTTCCAAAGTTACTTCAACATGAAGAAAATTTCAAACTACCACATAAAAAAAAATTGAAAGACCAGCAACATAAAGTAGCATCTAAAATTCCAGAGGAAGCCATCTTGCCTACAGAGTTTTGCAAAGTCAAGAAACTTCAAGATTTGGCAATTTCAACATTAGCATGGACTTTCACAACTTATTCAATACCTTCTTCTTGGGCCGCAATATTGTAAAAAGAAAATTGCCAGCATTTTAGTATAAATTGAAATATCCACAACACCTCTAGAGAAAAATCTGCGAAGAAACATTTGAAGTAACATATTTAGTGTCCTTCACCCAACTTTACACACATGTTGGAGTACCCATACAGAGCTTTACAGCACCACCCAGTTGTCTATAATAATGCTTAATGTCCCATAGTGAAATTATATAAATGTCAGTGGGAAAAAATGAAAAAACATAAATATTTAATCCTTTTATATTTTTAAAAATAAAATCTCCCCTTAGTTTAGAACTTTGATAGCATATCCCTGTGCTTTCAGATTAATCATAGAATCACATATTGCTTGTATTTATGTATACCCAAAAAACTCTCTACGGCTTTGTTACTATGAAAAGACTAAACAGACAAGGCATAGCATATTAGGTGTTAAAAACCTAAACACTTAATTTTCAATATTTTAACTTTTGTATTTCATAACATCCATGATATGGATGCTCGCAAAATCAATCTGAATTTTCACAACAATATTTAGAGAGATTATGCGAAATTTCAGCTTGCTACAGATAAAATCACTACATAGCTTTAATGAATATACTATACACAAGGTCCTTTGTTTTTAATTTGCATCAGATGGCAAAATATACAGTAGTATCTATATATACTTATGAAAATAGGTATAAATGAAATGAACAGAAATTTCCTGGCACAAAATATGAAGAGAAGTCAATGTCATTTTAAAGATAAACATGCATTTTTCATACCAATAAATAATGCTATAAATCCTGCTGCACTGGATTGCAAATAACTTCAGCTGAATAAAACTGCATGACATGGGATTTACTTATCCTGTATGTTCACAGAAACAACTTGTTCTCTGACAGCACTCATTCTTGGCAATTTATTGCAGCTGTCAGCAGCCAATTTGTTTGGATTACAGCTATGCATAAAGGTGTAACAATCATGAGGATTTATAAACTGATTATCGTAAAGGTGACAGTCAGAATTGCCTTCAAAAATGTAAACGATAAGAAAGTTAAATAATTACACGCAGATTAAAATCACTTCACCTTCATTTTGATCCTAGTATTATCTCCATAAACTTACTGCGGTATATGTTTTTAATTACATGAGCATATTGACTCAATATAGAACATAAATTATTTGCTCATAGCAAAAACATGTGAATATTGAATTAATTCAGACTGAACAATATATATATACACGTGCATATTACTACTTACCAGACAAAACAATGACTAATACTGCTTACACAAGTCTACATGCTTATTTGAATGCAAGGCGGCTGCCCATGTGGCTTTAGCTGCTGGTGCTTTCCATAAGAAGAACTTCTAGATCTCATATCTTTGCTCCCAGTATGTTGGTTGTTTTTTCAAAAATTTATATTCAGAAGAATACCAAAATTGCACCTCTCGTAAAATTAAGCTCAGTTCTGGTCAAGACTGGTGTTTTCTCACACAAATCCGCACATGACTGGAAATATATTTTCCTCAAAGCTTTTGTATGAGGTCTTTTCTCCAGCCTTTGAAGTCTCAAAATAAACATTGAATTGGTTCTAGGGTTTTGGTTTTTTTTAGAGTATTCTAAGATGGAAGTTCACAAGGTGCTGCAACCTTTAAACTCTCATGGAGAATGCACACTGAGGCTCAAATAAATTTTATAAACAGATAGTGCTCAAAGTTATGAATGGGAACCAGCCAGTCAGCATTTCATTTCAGGGACTACCATGCTGAATGTGCCTGGGCACCAAGATGACAATGGAACTTTATGCTACTTCATTGACAGACATTTCCTTCTTTTCTGTACTAGGATTCCATGCTGCCGCTCTTACACTCTTAACACCTTCCTCCCTCTTACAGGCCACCCTTTCCACTTCTGTCCTCCTGTTATGCCACCCTAAAGCCAGAATCTCACTTCCATGTCTTCTGCCCCCTCCATCACATTTCTTGCATCTTCCTGCCTTCAGAAATGTATTGCAAATCCAAATCTTTGCAATCTGAGCACACATACCATTGCCGCCGTATCACATTCCTAGCTTTTACCCTGGCGCTCAACATGCTCCAGCTTAATGAGTACAATGATATATACAAGGCCCATGGAATTCTATGCCCCTGATTTCCCACTTTTTTTATTTCACAAAAGTGCAGCTGAGACAGAGTATTCCAGGAGAGGCTATGACATTGTACTTTGAAATATAATTCACAAGTAACTGAGCTCAAGACAATAAGAACACAGTTTTCCTGGGCAATTTTCCACAAAGATCCTGGAATTTGTCCCTTCAGCCTTCCACCTGGGACACCCTTTCTTCTGTTTTCTCAATTTAGTCTGTTCTTTCCCTCAATGAGTGGGATTTCTTCAATCAAGTGTGGCTTCTCCCTAACCATACTTTGGCCAGGCAGGACATCTTCAAGAAACAATTGTTTTCATTAGCATTTAATAAAAATATTCTTCTATAATATTACAGCTGCTGCTTGCACATTATTCAAGTAAGAAGGAAAATGAAAGGGATTACTCTTCATTCTTGAGCAATGCTGGAATGCAACCAGGAAGTCTTTTGTTTCCCTCCCACACCCTCATTATCACTTCTGGAAACTGAATCAAAATACTCAATTTATTACATGTGCATTGAGAGCCACAGAGCCTTAGTCATGGAGCACAACTCAGTCGTGCTTTTAAAAATTAGTATACACTTATCACAACACACACGTAGAGGAGGTCTGTAGTGTGTGCACCAAAGCATTTCCAGTTTTTTGAGGCAGCTTTGAAAGGAGAAACTGGGGAAGAGAGGTCAGTGTTAAGTGGAGCTGTCAGGTGTTAGTGATTTTTATCCAGTGACTGGAAAAGAATATCACAGAAGGAGAATATTAAGACCTATTTTTGTATTCAGGTTGAGCTTGACAAACGACAGTTTTTCATGGAAATCTTCATGGAGAGTAATTTGTTTGCAGGTTGCATTATCCAGAGATACAGCACCAAAAGAAGGTGAAATGAGAGACTGTCTGAAAGAAGAAACTAAAGAGAGATTATATATACACTGATGGCAGAGAGGTCACAAAAATCAAGGCCGACAAGATTTCAGCCAGTGCTACTTTGAGGATGGTGTTCTGAAAAATCATACATGAAAACTTTGAATGTCACTATCTTTTGGATAAGAAGGTTAAAATTAAGAAAATAGGAATAATTTCCCAAGGTGTTAGAACATGGCAACATAGGACTAAATGATTACATTACTTCAGAAAAATAGTTATTGTTACCATATGCACCAACTGAAATTAAGCAAAGGAAAAATACAGTAGAAAATTCAAATAATCATCACATCCATAGAGTTTCATAATTAAAAAAAATCCTACTGTGCATACTTTTGAAAAGTTTTTGTTGGTATTAAAGTTGTTTGCTTGCCACAGACTGTGTACAAATTGTGAGTTTGCACAATTTATACTAGGAAATAAACACAGAATATTATTCAACTCATCAAAGCCATTACCCTAAACAGAATAAGAGGGAGGAAAAGGCCAGTAGAAATATTGCAACATTGACAACAGAAGTACACGGTTTGTTCTGTGGGATTTCCATTCCTTAATTTAACCACATAAAGAAAGGTAATTCTGCTACTTAATAGTATCGATGTCCTAGAAAAAAACGAACCTACCACCAATACTATCACAAACAACCAAAACATACAGCATTAATAGCTATTAATTCTTGATACTATTATTATGACTATATGGATATCAATGAAACTATGATGTAAACAAATATCCAAGCTTTCCAAATAGCACCTACTTTGCAGTATCTGTAAGCACAAGACTGTTTTTTCCCCATTAGCTAACAGTTAATGCCACTTCCTTCTCTGTAAAATGGAGCATAGACACAAAAATGCATGATTTCTTGAATGCTAAGGCAGATTTGCTTTTCCTGACTATCAGTTAGGTGAATGATCTTATTTCTTTGCCCCAAAAGATGTGTGCAGTCCTTCAGCACTCTATTTTCATTTACCGAACAGACTGGTACATAAATTTAATCTTACGCATCTATCACAAGTCAAAAGAGTTATTTCTCCTCCAAGCTGGATGTTGCTCTATGAAACCTCCTACATCTTGATACCTGCTTTAAACGGGGGATTTTTATTTTTAAAACCTCAATTCATCAATTGGTAAAAGCTGCCACCTACTGGCAAATTAAAGTTATCTTATATCTTCAAAGCAAAGAACTACATCGATGCAGCAAACTGTACTGGTATACTGCAGAAAATCCTCCCCAAACTTAGAAAAACCCCAATAAAACCAAGAACAAATGTTCATAAGAACTAGATTCAAACGCAAGGCTCTTTTTAATCATCCGCTCTCATCTCCAGGGAACAAGAAGGCTGTAATTGCACAAACCTGCCAATAAAATCATCCTTTCTGCCAGCATCTTTGTCCCACACAGTAATATCAATAATTCCACCTCGTTCTTCATAGAGATGAAAATCAAACTGCTCCCTCCACTGAGGATTCAAACTTTTTGGTACAATCTGAAAGGAGGGCAAAAAGAAAGTCATTGCATTGTGCAGGCATACACTTTCTTTAATTGTAAATTTGATCTTTAGAGTATGCTCAGGAAGATTTTTCTGTCTGCAGTATCACAATTGTAAGCAGCAATAACCAAAAAACAATAACTAGGAAAGAATACTGGCCAGTTCCCTCATGCCTTTCTGATGTAACATCAACCTCCAAAATCCTGCAACCTGTCACCTTCAAAAGTCTCCTGAAAATGGATTTGCCCTGGGAATAGAGCCATTTCTCTGCAGAAAGCCTCTTAAGTGACAGCTGTAAAGTTATGTATCTGAGCACAAAGAAAAACAAAGCACCTGCCATGACAAGTAGATGGTGAATCTAAGTATTTAAGCAAACAAATGTATCATGTCCTTTTTTTCTCCAGCAGCAGTAATACTGGGAGAATGACACTAAGGTTTACTTTTTATGGAATAAAAATTCTTTTTCCAAAACTGTATTTTACATCCTTTCTTTTGAAACTCACAAAAGTACCTTTCTCAATCATTTTCAGTACAGTTACTTCTGTCTTCAATGGATTTCAGTCCATATACTTCTGACCACACTGTGCAGAACAGAAAGCTTGCAGATTTTTCCACCATAATGAAAAAGCAGTGTTCACAGTAATCACACATGTCCTGAGCAAGAATGGAAACTGCCTAGTACTTTCCCTATTATGCAAACCCACTTCTTACATCCACCAGTTCTACCGGCTTTTAAAAAAGTGGAAAATTGAGTGAGGAAAAATATGCAGAAATCCCATGAAAATCTTAAATTCACAAAAGCATGAAATTTTATCTCTTCTAATTCCAGATTAAGAAGCCCTAATGAAAGCTCACAGGTCTGAAAATATGGCAACTGAATGTTCCTGCCCTTCTCCTCAATTAACCCTTTGTCTGGTTGTGAAAACCACAGCAGCTGTCACAGCCATAGAGAGAGGAAGGTCATGTGCATCACTGGCAGTCCCAGCATCTTCCATGAAGAGCAATTTTCAAAACATTAGGGATCAGGGGAATAAAAAATAATAGCAAGAAATCCAAGCGAGTCTCAACAGTAATTTTCTCCCTGATCAATTCTCTCTACCTGTGAAGCTCATCATAAAGAGAATTTTGATGAAACTTGCTGTGAGGACACAAAGAGGAAGGTGAGACTTTAAGTACGACATGGTTTGAGGATAAGATAATGCAAAGGAGCCAACATGCAAAAGAGGCAACATGCATCAAGACAGGAAGATATTTGTTAGAATCACTCTGCATCTCTTCCCTGCCATGAACGACCCCTAACAGGAAATAAAAGCCAACACAGTCTGTATGGAATATCAAGTGTGCCTCCCTGCATGTCCACAGTTTTTAGTGTTACGTTTTCCCCCATGTATTACTACTGCTTATAATGAAACAAAAAGAAACATCTAAACAAAGCTTCAGGTGCTCTAACAGCTAATTAATACAACAATCAATCACTACTGAAAGTCATACAAGCTAAAAAAATCCCTAACAGGAACAAAACAATTCAAAACAATTTTCAGTCACAGGTAAAATTACCTTGCTCTTGTATTTCTGATGCCCCAAACGGAACTTCACATAAGGATCACTTAAGCCATTTGCATCCATCGCCTTAAGTTCACGACCTTCAATTAAGATGACACTAACTATCCCTCTCCATAGCTGAGTCTTTCTGTGCAGGTCTGAGATATGTAAGCTCTGGGTCTGAAAATTTAGGGAAACAAAAGCATAGATTTAGTTAACACGTTTCCAAAAAGTTGCCCCGCATATTGAACTTCAATTTCATGTAACTATGAATGTAAAACAACTACTTTACACCATTTTGTAGTTCTCTGACAGTACATATGTAAACTGTATTGCAAGGAATTACTTGGAGAGAAATAAAACAGCGACAATTATGCAGGTAATGTCATGTGCTGCTTTTGCAGAAGCAAGCAGAACAATGCTACTTATAGAAATGTTCACTAAAAAAAATATTTTTTTTCTGCTTCACTCCTTCCTCTGCTGATAGAATACAAATGTTACAAAGTCTCTTCCATTACTAGCATATGATTGAATGAACTTGTACAAACATAAAAAAACAGTGAGGCTATGAAGCTTCCATTCAAATAACATAAACTCATCATGAGAAGCATGGACCAAGGAAAAATAAGTCAATAAACTCATGTGTACATGATAACTGTCTCTGCCTCTAAAACAATGTGGCATTCTCAGAAATATATAAATATATAAATACCAGCAGATAGGTTCAAGAGTTTCAAAAAAGATTTTGCAAAACCTCCATTCAGAACTGTGCAGAAACATGTGGACTATGAACTGCCAGCTCCTGATTTCGGGGAATTAAAAAAAAATTATGCACACAAACCAGATGGCTACAGCTTTCATCAATGAACTCCACTGGGGATGGGAGAGCATGAGACTACAAACACAAGTAACTTAAGATCATCACCAATTTGCTCTGAGATACAGGGGGAACAAGGTACCAGAAATAGGGAATCACCTTTGCACTCCTGAGTAAGGCAAACATGTATTGGGTGCATCTGATGTCCAATGTTACCGAAGGTTCTCCCTTCTATTCTGAAATTTAATTTGTTCAAGGTTCTCACAAATTATTCTTTCTAGGAATCAAAAAAGCAAGTCTGTATGTACTGATGCCAAGAAAAGCTGGAAAAGAACTACTCACAGACTTGTATCTCTGAGTAGCAGGTGTTTGTTTATTCAGCGCCGGGCACAAGGGGGATCGCTCCACCAAACTTGTGCAACCAGGGATTCCCAGGAATAGGTGGTTATTATTACAATTAGTTCTCAGAAAACATTATCATACACTCCTCCCTTGCCTCCTCCCAATTGGCATTAGTCCAGTGGTGTCTGGTGGTCGTCTGGGGGTTGTCAGGAGGAAGTTTTCATCTGATTGATTTTTTCACCTTTGAGTTTGGTGCATGCTCTTTGGTCTTGCTCTTCGGCTGCCAGGTCCTGAGTCCAGCTGGATCTCGTTTTTCCATTGTGTTTATGCTACCTAAGCTAAAATAATGCCCTAAGTTCTACCCTTTTCATTGTTAATAAACTAAAACAATGCCTTATTAATCAGCCTTTTACCTTCTGTTTATTCAGGTGCTCTCTACTTGACTATTCCCTATCCTACTCTCAGCTTTAACTATTGAATTCCTGTTATCAGTATACTCTGCTGTAAATATATCAAATATACATATTTCTTTATTATGCAATGTAGTTTGAGCAACAAAGGCTTTATGGACTCAGCAACCCTCCACATATGCAGGCCTGCTTCATCACTTGCAGACCTTCCACACCTCTGTAAGAGGTTTTCAGTGCAAATTTGGTTTAAGTCTTTCAGAGTGTAAACACAGCTGGATGGTTACAGATATGCAGGTGCCCAAGGCAGGAATTTAACTTTATTACCCAGAGACAATGATAGAAAGTAGACTAGAGTAGAATCACTAGATTATCATCTGCGCTTACTGGCTTCCTGAGAGCAGTGTTATCCAAGGAGGACTGGGGTTGGAGTAAATCTGATTAACACACTTTTTTGTAGTATTTCAGATATTTTAATGGCATGTGTGGGTGTTTTCTAATGGCTAGTCATTCCAAGAAGTATGGTTACTCCCAAAATATTTCACTCTATTTATTAAAGATTTCTTTTGCTGAAGCAAATCATTTGACTGCAGAGAAACTTCTCACAACCTTACTGTTTCTATAAAGGCAAACAAGGAACTGTGGAATAACCTTTAACTTAACCTGTGACATGAAGAAGCAATGAGACATCAGAAAGCAGACACTCGACAAAAACTAGCGCACAAGTGGGAAAATCAGTTGCCAGATGATATTTCATTTACAGCTTAAGAACACTTTATCTCCCACTCTCCCCCTCGCCCTCGCCCTTTCATTGGGGTCAAACAGACCACATCGCCAAAGATTTGATGCATGAAGAAGTGGTAGATGTTTTATTTTTTTGTTCCAGCTTCTTAGAAGGCTTAGAGCCAAAGACTGGATAGTAAACAATTAACATTGACTCTGCCCTGAACATAAGGTGGAAAGAAATACAGAAAGAAGAACAGACCAGGCATGTTTAGGAAAATATTTTAACCTGGGATAGTAGCAGTGGTTGAGACTGATTTTGCAAAGAATACAGAGTTCTTGGGGTTTTTTTTGAGAGCCAAGAAGGAATCCATATGATTTCCAGGACACTATCATGGAAAATAACCTTATAAAGCATGCTTATTTTTTACAATTAGTAGGGAGTTTCATCGACAGGGGTAACTTACATATACAGTGGCAAGGCAAGATTTAAATGACCAAGACTGGGATGCAAAATGAAAAGACAGATCAGACAGTTTCCAAGAGTCAGGCAGGAGCCCTGAAAGCAACTGTTTACATGCTGCTGGAGGAAGCCCTCCTGACATCTCACAGTCAATGACAACCAAAGCACCTTGCAGGGCACCGTGGCATCTGGACTGACAGTGAAGCTGCAGAGCCTATGTCTAAACACGCTGGAAGAAAAGCAGTCAGCTGCTGGAAGTGGTGTGGGTTGGTTATGCCTGTTTCTTCCTCAAGGTGGCAGCAGTGCTGTTTTCTCCCTGTCTTTATCAGTAATACATAGATCATGGGACAGCAAAAAGGAGACTGAAAGAGACAGGGTACAGATTGCTGGAGCTAAAACTACTGAGATTTCCTGGACATGAAAGGCACTGGCAACGTGGCCTTCTCCAGCAACACAACTTCCAGCTGGCATTTTTCTTGTTTCCAAGCAAGACTGAACAGCACCCAACATGCTTTGCTTCCAGTCAAATAACAGATACTGACATAACTTCTCATTTCATATAAGGGTTCTTGTAGGAAATAAATAAAATTAAAAAAAAAAAGTTTAGATTTCAAGTCAAATTTGACAAAAAACTAATAGATGAAAAAATCAGAAAGCAAGTCTGATTTAAAATTTTAGAGGTCTTGCCTTATGAATTTAATTTCAAAGTGTGACACAGGTACATTTCTAGGTATTGTAGAGGTAGTATGTAGAGGACCAGACATAACATGTTCTGTCTCAAACATTCTGACTGCGATGACAGGTAAGATGTGATAGGAGAAGAGGGTCCTGTGGAGGTGGGGCAGTGCTATTCTGAGGCAAGGTCCTGCATTATCTAGAGACGCCTGCTCAGCTCTCCACCCCAACCGTCCCAAATCACTCCCTGGAGGAGGCTCCAAGGGCTGCTGTGCACACGTGAACAGAACAGCACAAGAAACCTAGCTTATGTAAGAGGCTGCACCAGGTTACATGACTGATCATGTTCCCTCTCTCTTCCCCCTTCTCTCCAATCTTTCCTCTTTTTGTCTTTCGCTCTCATGCTTTCCCCAAGTCCAGAGCATCCACATGTCAGGATCAACATGAGATCTAAGGACTGGTGATTTTCTGTATTAGCTCTCTCCCTTTTCTGTCTTTATCTCTCTCTTCCTGTGCTTTGCTTGGACAAAGCATGGCTTTTGTCCACTACTTCACCCCCGATCTCTTTGCTGAAGTTTGTTGTGGCAGTGGGGAGACTGTGAAAAGTGGTCGTGTGGCTTGTGAGCAGCACCTTTGAATACTGGCATGTTGTGGCTTGTTAGTCAGCAACCTTGGCTGTGTGTTACGGCTTCTGAGCCTGCAACTTTAAGAGGTTTGTTGTAGGAATTGAGAAGTTACTGTACTGTACTGTACAAATTAAAGGCTTGTTATTCTCCACTCTTGTGGAAGGCAAATTTAAGAACTTGTTTGCTAACATCTTTCAGATGTAAATATTGGGTTAGTTGCTAGAGTTACGACAACAGTACAATAAAACCTAAAGTTCCCTGACACGTGGTCCTCTGTCTTTGTTCAGCCTGACAAGAATTGATAATGAACATCATGGCCCTACAGGTAGGTCGTGGCAGGTGCATTTTTAGGTATATCAGTAAAATCCAGCCAACAGTGACTACAAAGTCAAAAGGGAAAGCGAAAGAATAAAATGAAATGAGAATGTGTCTTTCTCAGTTTCTCCTATGAAGGACTGTTTCTCAAGGCTAATTCTAAGTAACTTCTTTCCCTCAGCAAGCACGTCATGTGTGTTGCAGCTCAGATACACTCTTCTGCCACAAACACAAAAAGACCAAGAAGAAACTGCACAGCTTTTCATTTCTCCATGAATAGGTGGGAAGTTACATAATTCATATACAATTTGGAAAGACGAAAGGTCAAGATCTCAGGCTACAACCAACAGTGGATTATTATTCACATTTTTGTGCATTGATATGCAGGATACAGGCATGATGACTCCCACCATACATGTTGTAAACTCCCCAAAGAGGGAGAGCCAGGATGGGAAAGTTGTAGCCTACAGGAAGTGAAGCTTTTCCTCAATCTTTTCCCAAATATAAATTAAAATTAGACTTCTTAAAAGGCATCTTTCATGTCAAAGGATGCTCAGAGCTGCCTGTGAAAAAAAACCCGACATATTTTCATATCCATACACGACTTTAATGCTTCTACGATAAACAGCACTCAAACCCAGCATTTTTTTATGTGGTTAACTTAGCCTTTATTTCTGTTGCACTTTTTCATTCTAAATGTGGAGTAGTGGGTGGGCTAGGGGTGCCAACAGCAGACAATCTTCTGACATAGAACCATATCCTCTACTAGATACAATTAATGTAGTCAGCCAAATGCAATGTCAGAGCTGAAAGATGAT